ACATACATACATACATACATACATACATACGTATGTATGTATGTATGTATGTATGTATGTATGTATGTATCTTGATCAATTTACTCAGGAGATAACTATCAACATACATCATTGACATCAGTTTAAATAGGATGGCTTCCTTAGAACAGTCTGGCAATTGTATCTTAGTGAGAGTTGTGAGAAGGCGCTTAGGAAACTCTGACCTAATTCATAGAACTCTAGTCCTAGGCTGTACACCATGATTTTTAACTATGGCTGGTGGAACAGGACATTATGGCCTAATCTGAACACAGAGTAAGCCAGTGTTTTTCAACCTTTTCTATTTGAAGACTGGCAGATAGCTGGGGAATTCTGGGAGTTGAAGTCCATACAACTTCAAGTTGCTAAGGTTGAGAAACACTGCCTTAGGCCATGTTGTGTGTTCACATATAACCTTACATTGAAGTCAAACAAGCTGAATGCAATGAGTAAATCCAGATTAAATTAGTTTGCCAGTGCAATCCTGAGCATGTTTACTTAAAAAAACCCATAGGCCAGAAAAGAGGGAGATACTGTAGGTGCTAAAACCCACAGGGTAGATTAATCAGAACTCCAGCTTCTCTTAAGTACAACATTTTTGATGAATGATTAAATGGAGAAGATTCCAAAACAACTTAAATGGCTGCAGAATGAAATCCAAATGGGTCCCCCCCCCTTTTAAACAAAAAAACCAAAAAAACAAGACAATCATAGGGAATTGTACCAAATTATTCATACAGTGAAAAATGAATTGGCTTTGCAGAAAATGGTTGAAAGGTCAAGTAGAAAATTTGATATGGGAAAAGCCCATTTCGACAAATTTTTAAACCAAATGTCCATGATGAATCATTCATCTGTATCTTGTGCTTTGTCAGTTGTTTACATGCTTGTGGTTCAAGGAGAGAATTCCCTCCCTTTCTCCTCACATGCCATCAAAAGGAACTGCTAGCTGATTCTATCTGAAGAGGAAAAAGAACCAGCAGGGCTATGTGCTATGTGATAAAAGCCTGGGCAACGTTATTCACTTTTATAAAACAAAAGCAATCAATGAATTGCAATTTCAGTTGAACATCCTGGGGCACTCAAGTTGGCATAGGCCACAGAATAATTTCTGTATTTGAATACTTAAACTTCTGGTTAATACATTTAAAAAAAAAACCCAGACGTACCTTCTTTCCCTCTTCCTATATGCATGTGTTTGGGTGTGCAATTCTTTAAAATCTTACTTATTCCATTGTATACATGACAAATTAAACCCTTCCGCTCCCCCATGCCCCTCTTTTAAGGACTTGGTCCTAGTTCACTGTTTGCAGTATATATTGCACTTCGTTTCACAGCCAAACTTTTAACCTCTTTTTGTGGTGAGCGGCTGGTCTGCCTTGCCCCCTCTTGGCTGGGGAAAGGCCTCTTGTGCTCCTTGTGCCAAGATGGCATGGGGAGAGGGCAGAGAGCCCACATGCCACTTGCTTTTGAGTTCCTTTCCCACTCGGTTGCATTAAGGCCTCCTAAATACTTTAGCTTAAACTGTTGTGACTCTCATGACAAGCTCTCTGTTTGTGCTAGAATGGCTTCTCTGTTCATTAGGCCTCAAATGGCTGAGTATATGCAAGATGGTATAAGCACAGTGATGATCAGACAAAGTACCCATGGTGTGACCAGCTCCTCGGGCAACACTGTCTTCCACAGCGGAGTTGCTGGCTGCGCCATTAGTGGAGGATGAATGGTTGATCTGAGAGGAGTTTCGTTGATTGCTCCTAGACCCTGATTTTTGATCCTCCAAGTCCTTTGTTTTGTCATAGTTCAAAACTTTCCACTGTTGATTGACTGCTTGCCACCTTTTAAAAATTCGGTAAACCGAGGGTCCTTCGTGTATTATGAGACCTGAAGGATAAAGAGTATATGGTTAGTAAAGAAAGGCAAAGGAACAAGGATCAGAATTTACTGTATTTCTCATTGGCTGGTTTTTTCCCTAGCATGCACAGCCTGGGGCAGCTTTCCCCAACCTGAGCTTTTCTGGATGGAATAGAAGTCCAAAGTTTGAGAAGGTGTTGAGATAGGGGAAGCTGTGCTTAGAAGCTTCTCAGAGCATAAATCTCCCAATGTCATTATTTGGTAAGGTTGGTTGCATAAGTGCTTCCCAAAAGAAGATTCCTAATGCTCATAATCAAAAGGCATTCAGCAGGAAAAGATGCATGGTTCTCTGGGGGAAAAGGAACAAGACAGAATGGGTAAAGGAAAACATAGTAGGGTTACATATAATAGACAATATCATCTTTCTTCTGTATAATTTCATGAATGAGGTAGAGTGACTTCTAGCGCTTCCTTGCCTGGAAGCAACCAAAGTCTTAATTCATTGTATTAAAATAGTGAAAGCATATTGCAGAACCTTGAAAGCATATTAATTGCCTAATTGCCCTACTAGATCAGATAAAGTGCCAGAGGTGGCACGCAGAGCCCATTCAATAGGCACACGTGCAGTTACCAGCTGCTCTTCTGGTTTCCAGCACACACATTTGCCAGCTGGTCTTCGCGGGTTCTGGAGCATTGGAAAACCTCTGAAAAGTCCTGAAAAACATCCAAAAAACAGCCCGAAAAATGGCCTGAAAAAGGGCAAGAAAATGGGCATGCCCACGCCGGCCAGCTGGTCTTCGAGTTTCCAGTGTTCAGGCACACACACATGCACACATGTTCTGGTTTGGGCACTCGGTGCCAAAAAGGTTCACCATCACTGCTCTAGATCAGTGGTTCCCAACATGGGGCTCAAGCCCCACAGGGGGGGCAGTTTGATTTTTACTGGGGGCAATTTGAACCTTATTTAAACCAAGTTAATGGCCTTTTAGGCTTGTGTGAGTAGAGTTCACTTTTTGAGTAAAGTAAGAATTATATGTCACCGGGGGGGGGGGGGCATCAGAATTTTAGAGATGCTTAAATGGGGCATGGCCAAAAAAAGGTTGGGAACCACTGCTCTAGATCATCTTTTTTCTTCTTCATCCATCAAAATATCTCCTGGCACTTTAAGTAAGGCATTTGTTCACCAACATTCAGTATTCAGAAGAACAATGTTTCAACATGGCATATATTAAATCCAGCCATCATTTTTTGTAACTATAATGGTAATTCCAAAAGAATGTGGGCCAAGAGAAGGACACACTTTCTCCAATTTTTAAGATGATTGCTTTTACCCTTTACCAAGTTATAGATTTACGGCTCTTGTTGGCTTTCTTCAGAGAAATATATGGGTTACAAGCCTTAAAGATGTAAATAGATTCTCATTCCATAGTCCCTATGTGAGTATACAATGTACAAAATAAGTCTTTTCAGAAATATTCTTCTAGATCATATTACTATTTCACTACCCAGCTATTTTTTTAAAAGTTGGCCATAAAACACTGCTGCATAGTTATATATAAAATAAGTGATAAAAACTGCATCATGATATTATAATCCAAGCTCCATGACATACATATTTGTGGGGTGCAAGTCTAAAAAGCTGGTGTTTGTGATGCCATGCCATACCATACATTTTATGGTGTTTTAGTTATCTTACTTTATAGGGAATGTGCTTTGGTGAAATATAAGTAAAGGTTTAGCTAGCCTGAACTAGAACTGAGAGAGAGGGTTAAGAAAGAAAAGAGATATTTTGACAGAGTAAACATACTCAACAGATCCTCTGAATAAATGAGAGACTGAATATAATATCTCCCTATACGTATCTAAGGTACTATGCTAATGAGAAAGAATAGGAGGAGGTCAGGAAGTGGTCTCAATATAAAAATTATCTTACACTGCGTAGGTGGTAATGATATTTTACATTATATTTGTAAATCTCCAGCATAAACTGAGAAGAGATTATGCCACATGACCAAATAAACTTGATTTTGCTTATGGTCAATTTAAAGAGTTTAGATATTCATCACTGGACTAACGCCCCACTCCAAAAATATTTCCCCCCCTCTCAGAATATAATTTCTCAGGTCAGATTTTGATTGCATGTTGTTTTGTTTTTAAAAATTCCCATGTTGTTACATCTACACTCTTAACTTCCATCTCTTTCCTCTGGAATATAGGATGATTATATAACTAACACTTTCCATGTATGTAGAAACAATAGTAGATTTGTTCCCAAATTCAAGGTCTGTAAATAACCAAAAACAGTATATAGTCAAACATGTCTAGACTTTAGAACCTAATTTTGTGTACCTACTCAAACAGCAGACCTCATGATGTGCCGGACTACCTCAAGGTGTGGAAAGTTGCAGTCCAATCTTTCTGGTGCTGAATATTTATACATCAAAAAGCAGGAAACTCTATGCTTTTAAAGCAAAGTTTGCTGATAACAAAGAGACTAACTGAGCTTCCTTGTGGCAAGCAGCACACAAAGGACTAGAAGCAATAATAACCTTAATTTCTCCCGGTGTTCAACTACCAAAACTTTACAAGTAACGTCACCTTAACTCCTTTCACAATACACAACTTCAGAATGCTGTGGCCGCGTATGCTATGTGCTGCTCCTATACTTTCAGTTTCATCTTTAGTACACAGCTAGTTATGCACATCATTAGGTGCAAACAACTCAAAACACTTTCAGAGATGCACATTTGTAGGGCTTGAACAAAACAGAGAATTTGTTACTTGTTTTGGATACCTAAAGTTTATAAATCAGTGTCTGTTCTGAATGATCACTCAATTTATGTAAGCTCCATATCTACAGGGAAGGTGATTCTGCAAGAGACAGATGTACTATTTCAGTAATGTTTCCATTAAGAGAAACAACATAGCAGTTGCTAAATACATCAGGCATTGTGTATTCCAGATAAGAAATATAAGCCATAACTCACAAAGATCTGTGATATCATCTATCCATTTCCCATTCTGCTGAATAGATCCAACAGGTATGCATTTTAGCAAATCAGTAGTTCCCAGAATTCAAAAATTCATTTCAAGGAGCCAAATACTGATACTGAGGCAAGATTCTACCTTCAAAATTAATGGGACCATTCCTACAGATCAGTTAAGAGTTTGATAGGAAATTGTGAACTCAATTATTTAAATTCAAATACATGTTCTTAAGAATCTGCTTCACCAGATTATGGATTAGCTATTGAAAGTTCCATTAATTTTATTCCTAAAACTTATGACAAATATTTTATGTTTATTTCTTTGTTTGTTTCATTTTCTAAACAAGCGTATATGAATTCCATGCAATTTATAATACAGTGTTGATGAATGGGTTAGTATATGAACTAAACGCCTGTTTTCCCAGATAAATCAAGTTTCAAAATATTTACTAAAAGTGAAAAACATAACTTTCTTCTCCTTTGCCAGGATCCAAATTACTTATTGATTTCCTAGCACTCAGCTCAGGAAGCTGTAAAATTAAAAAGGAACAAGCAATGAAGTCGGCAGAAAGATGGAAATAAGAATGCCAATTTATTTGCACTGTAAAAGATGAAGATTTAGTAGGGACATCTATCAGTTTAACAATCATTAGCAAGAAGTCCCAAGATTTCATCAAAATAAGCAGCTTTAGCAAAACAGACCTCAGATTTCAGCAAGTAACTGTGGCCTTTAATACTGAAATTGTGTCCAGATCTTTTTTTTAACCTTTTGCTTCATTTATAGATATCCACCTCCATCTCTATCATCTCTATTATTTCTATCTATCAATCTGTTTGTCTGAAAATTTTGTAGGTGGTCTTTGACTTACAACCATTAATTCAGCAACTGTTTGAAATTATGGTGGTACTGAATGAGGGGCCTCATGACCAGTTCATCAAATTATAGCTGTCGCAGCATCCCTGCTGTCATTTGAACAAAATTTGGGCACTTGGCAGCCTACTTGCACTTACCTACACTCACAGGTTGCTTCCACTCTTCCCACACCCTACCTCCCCCTCATCCATGTCCTTTTGTCCCCCTGCAATCTGCAGCCCTTGCCACCGTAGCTGACCTTCAACATTTTCTTGCCCCAGTTTCTGACAAAGTATGTGTGGAATGGTCCTTCATGAGGAAGTTGCTGGCCACATGAGGCTTTCTTTTACAAGGTTGCACATGGAGGTTTCCCCACAGGACCTGGGAGAGATGGTCTCATGTGGTTTCCTCATGGAGGGCCAGGATGAGCATGCCTCATCAGCAGTGGGAGCAAGAAGAAGACAACAGTCAACAGGGACAGTAGGGGTTTTGGAGTGCAGAGCGGGGAGGGCAAATATGGCTGGGTATAAAACAAGGTACTGCCCAGATACTGTGGATTTGGGCTGTGGTGTTAGAGCTTCTTGGGGCATGGCCGCTTTGCACTGTGATGCTGGACTGTGTTGGGGCAGCTGCAATGTTGTGCTGCGCTAAAGCTCAGGAGCTTCTTTCAGGCCCAGACACACGGTACACCAGGAAGCCTGTGAGCTGCAGCATGGCAAGCAGCCCCAGAGCAGTGTGTTTCTAGACCTGCTTACTGCCCCACAAAACAAGGTGCAGGGTGGTCAAAAGGGCAGAGATCAGAGGTGGTATTAAGCAGGTGCTGACCAGTTTTGGAGAACTGGTAGCGGAAATTTTGAATAATTCGGAGAACCAGTATATACCACCTCTGACTAGCCCCGCCCCCATTGTTCTCTGCCTCCCGAGTCCCAGCTGATCTGGAGGAAATGGGAATTTTGCAGTAACTTTCCCCTGGAGTGGGGAGGGAATGGAGATTTTACAGTATCCCTCCCCTGCCATGCCCACCAAGCCACGGTCACCAAGTCATGCCACGCCCACAGAACTGGTAGTAAAAAAAAATTGAATCCCACCACTGACAGAGATGGTGAGGAAATAGGCAACTATAGGGAGCTGAAGAGGAGGCAGGCCCTTAATTTGGAAGAACCGAGGCTGAAGTTTGGGAGGGATCAAGC